GACCTTGTTCCCACAGACTGTTCCTAGCTGAAGTGGAGGCTTGGGGGTCTGACCTCGGCACCCTGAAACTCCATCCAGTGCTTAAACTGGGGAGTCTATGACCATTTATTCAAGTTAGATGGCAAGGAACAACAGACAGAAGAAATGATGATGATTCTACCAAAGACTCACTCAACAGAGGAGTTCCCTTCTCTCTGGAGATTGTGTGTACTTGGGAGGGAGGGAGGGAGGGAGGGAGGGAGGGAGAGAGAGGGAGAGAGAGAGAGAGAGAGAGAGAGAGAGAGAGAGAGAGAGAGAGAGAGAGACTTATGTAGCCCAGGCTAGCCTTGAACTCACCGTGTAGCCATCTGCCTTTCTCCACCCCTCTGGCTAGCAGGTGTGCGCATGCCCAGCTCTGCATCTTTCTTCTCTCTCCACCCCTCATGCAGTACTGAGGATTGAACTCGGGACCTCGTGCATGCTAGGTTAAGTACTCGACCACTGAGCCACACCTCTAGCTCCCTCCCCGCCATTGTTAGCTGCTTATCCATCGTAGGGAAGGTCAACGATGCCTAATCTTCAGGCGTCTCAGATCCATGTGACTGCTTGGCTCTGCTACTCCTGGCTAAGGGACCCTGAAGAAACCTTCTGCCTCCTCTGGCCTCAGTTTCCTTATCTGTGAAAAGGGCATGATGACTGACCCAATGCAAAAGCCAACGTGGGCGTTGAAGGACCCGAGGAAAGAGGCTGGATGTAAGCAAATACTTCATAACGTGTGATGGCCCGCGTGCTGCCCACGCAGGGACGGAGGTGAGCCTGCTGCCCACGCAGCCGCCTAGCCAAAGCCTTGGTTTAAAATGCCGCTCTTCCGCTTCCGGCTTTTTGCCTCAGTTTCCGAATCTGCAGCACGGGCGCTGCGCTGCCTCCTCCTTGCGTGACGTTGAGGAACAATGGCGAGCCACTTCCCAGCTAGAGGCGATCTGGATACCAGTTTTCAGACTGGCAGCACGCAGGACATTGCGTAGCCTTGGCCCGCTAGCTGGGTCGAGGCGAATGGAGGATTGCCCCTGCCGGCGCCGTTCTTGCCTTTTGGGTTCTGCGCGGCGTAGCAGAGTGTGACTCACTCCTGTTTTCATTCACAAGTTCAGGCACCCACTTTAAATAGACTCCATTTGGGATCTACCCTGGGATAATTACTTAATGTGCCATTTAATCGGAGATCTAATTAACGCAGGCGTTTTCTGACAGCCGTCATGGGGCTCAGAGAGCAGGTAGGCGCAAGGCTGTCACCTGGATCCCGGAGATGTCTGAGGCCTGGGAGCGATCCCGGAGTAGCGGAGAACAGCTACAGAGCATTCATGCTCTCACCCCGCTAACTGCCGGCTTCCACAGAGCTGAGGGAGTGAATGCAGGTCCTGGAGGCCCGACCCCTGCCGCCGCTCACCTTGGGAGGGCAGTCAACTTTTATATTGCGACGGTGGGACCTCCCAGCCCCGGCTGGGCTGAGTCCCTTCTCTGTGCAATGGCAGTGGGAGAGGCAGGACAATGAATAATTTTTGCGCCACACTAGGGTGACCTGCCCAGCAGGGCTACTCACAACGCAAAGGATGCGTCCTGGGAGTGGACACTGACAGTGGACTTGCTGGGGCCACAGGAGCTGGAACATCGCTTTCTGCAACTCCAACAAATTCCACCTACTGTGAGGCCACAGGACGCCAGCATTCACTGTACTGTCCTCTCCAGCCACACGGGAGGGACTCTGTGAAGGCCCTGCCGGCCCCTGGAGGGGACAGCTCTCTTGTGTCTATCCTCACCCCCAAGAACCAATCAATGAAGGAGCCAATTCCAGGAGAGTCCAGCTTTCTGGAATTTTACAAAGCAAACATCCCCCAAACGTCCAAGGTAATGGGGTAACCTCACTGAGGTCCGGTAACAGCTCCCAGAACTGCAGGCAGGCCCCTGAGTGCAAGTGCCAAGTAAATAAGCACTGTTAGGGACAGGAGTCCTCAAGCCAAAGAGGAAGCCAGGGGTCAACCTCTGCTGTGGGCACTTCTGACTCTACCGTCCAACACTGCCAAGGAATGGCAGCTGGAGCTAGAAGTGGGGGGACCAGACACTGTGACCCACACTAACAAAGGATCCAAGGCTGTGCTGAACCTCTCTGCTCTCACTCAGGCCACTTACCAACTGTTTATGTTTGGTTTAGGAGCCCTAAACATTTAGAGAATGTTCTAGAGGTAATTCTTCTGTCTGGCCCCAGAGGGTGATATTGTCTCACAAATGAGCTGCCTTCCCTTTGCAGAGCAGAGGCGCCTAGAAGTTTCCATGCACAGACAAATCTTCCAGGGTTCTGGGACTGATCCCCATTTCCCCAGAGGAAGTCTTTCCAAACCCTGGGGCTGGGGCAAAGAGCAGGACCTGTCAGAGCTGGGATGCTGGAAATTGTCACTGTGTCTACAGCCTGTTACAATGTGTCTGAGCGTGTCACCACATGTCACCGTGTGTATCAAAGCCTGGCCCTCTGCTCTATGGGCTACATACCTTTCTTCTGACGCCCTCCCCTGTATGGAGTGGACACTCCGCCCCTATACTGTAGGGCCTTAGAGCAGCTGGACACTGGCAACGGGGTCACAGGGTCTACTAATTGAACAGGGCCTGGGCCTGCACAGTTCCTTTGTATCATTTGGGGCTTTTGACTCTAAATCTCAGCTGACCCTCCCTTGTGTTCAGGATAACACACGTCTGTAAGGCATTTCTGGTTCCTTCTGGCCCTGCTGCAGGGCCCTCGGGCCTCCGAGTTCCCTGGGAGGTATCTGGCAGCCATGGAGCGCTTGGAGGAGATTGTGTTCAACAATGAGCTCGGGCCAGATGTTCTTGGTTTTTGAGCCATATTTTTTATGAACCAAGGAGGACCCTTTTCGCTCATTTTTAAGGAAGGAAAGAACTCACATGGGTTGGAAAGTTGGACTTAGACCGTCTGTTTGACGCTGTAATGTGCAGAAGAGGCCAAGGCTGGGGTCCCTCCTCAGCTTCAGCTGAGCCAGCAATATTGAAGGCCATAAATCAGGCAGGGGATACAGGATTGAGGAGGAAAGTTTTCTTCCTACATCTATGAACAGAGCAAGGGGGAGGAGGAGAGGGAAGGAGACAGGGAGAAGAGGGAGAGGAAGACCTGGGGGGCGGACAAGCACCCATGAGCAGCACCCTCCCCTGCCTGCCTTATTGCAAACCGCACACCAAATCAACAACGCCCGTGATGGGGACTTCTCTTTCCATTGCGGTCGCCCTGACAATCTGGCCTATTTCTTGAAATCCACTGAGTTTTTGTAAATAAATCTAATGAGTATCGTTTGAGGGAGGGGGAAAAAAGAGAGAGAGAGAGAAGACTATTAGGGCAGGGGAGATGACTTAGTGGTTAAGAGTGTTTGTCGTGCAAGCATGGTGACCTGAGTTTGAATCGCCAGTGTCCGCATTAATCCTGGGTAGGGCCACATGCAACTGTAACTCCATTGTTAGGAGGCAAGGGTGCAGATAGAGGGGTTATAGAAGCACGTTGTCCAGACAGCCCAGATTTAAAAAAAAAGGTGACGGGGCAGCCTCAGGTCCAGTGAGAGACCGGTCCCAATGGCGCTCTCTCTCTCTCTCTCTCTCTCTCTCTCTCTCTCTCTCTCTCTCTCTCTCTCTCTCTCTCTCACACACACACACCACAAAAATAGGAAGTAAAAAAAAAAGTATTGTTAGACAGACACCATCCGTAATGAACTGGGCATGCTGGAATCCCAGGAGGCAGAAAATGACCCACAGGATGACGGTTTTCTACTTCACCTGGTGTCTACCCAGGGGTGTTCACTCAACACAAAACATGTCTGGCTTCCAGGAAGCCCTCGACCAGAATCCTAGGGCCCAAGAAAACATGGGCATTCCAGGCTTCCAGAGGGCCCTGCCCAGCAGGCTCCAATGAGGCAGAGACTGGCCTGCATCCCTTCCCTAATCTTTAGCAGCTTTTTCTTGGTGGCTCCTCTCCGTATTTCTCCCTGTTGGCAGTGTCTCAGGTGAGCACATGTCCCCCACCACCCCAGCCCTAACAAGGGTTGCCTAGGATTTCTTCATGCTGAGCCACAGATGTTAAGAATGGTTGCTCTTCTGGGACAGCTTGGAACCCCCTACTATGTAAGTAGCTTCCTCCTACTATTTTTGGGGGGGGGTGGGAATCAGGGCAGGAGCTGTCGAACACAGCTGAACACTGTGGTGGTTTGATTGAAAATGGCCTCCATAGGCTCCTGGGGCATGGCCTTACTGGAGGTGTGGCTTGCTGGAGGTGTGGCCTTACTGGAGGTGTGGCTTGCTGGAGGTGTGGCTTGCTGGAGGTGTGGCCTTGCAGGAGGAAGTGTGTCACAGAGGGTGGGCTTTGAAGTTCTAGAAGCTCAAGCCAGGTCCCATGTCTGTCTCTCCTCCCGCCGCCTGCTGGTACCGATGCGGAACTCTCAGCGACTTTTCCGGTACCATGTCTGCCTGTGTGCCACCATGCTTCCCGTCATGACAGTAACGGACTAAGCCTAGGACCTGGAAGTGATTAATGTTTTCCTTTATAAGAGCTGCTGTGGTCACGGCATCTATTCTCAGCAATGGATCCCTGGGACAGGCACGTAGGAATATTAACCCAGTGGTGCACAGCTACTGTGATTCTGAAACATCCAGGGGCAGTTTGGGTCCTTGCAGTGGGAAGTGGGTGGGGGTGCTCCTAAGAGCCAGCAGGTAAAGTCCACACATGGTGACAAATCCCCCATGTGCTGAGGACAGCCCGCCATGTTGAAATGACAATGACACCAGAGGCAAGTCCCTATGATGGACTGACTTAAGTGCCTAGGGCCAGGTTGAAATGACACTAGAAACAAGCCCCTGTGCTGTCATGCCCACGACTCTCAGTCTCTGGCTGTTGCAAATGTCACCACAAAACTCAAGTTTGTTCAGAGGCTGGTAAGGGAGGGGCATCACTGACCAGCTACATTATTGGTAGATGGTGCTGCACTGTAATAAGAAGAAACAGGGCATTCATCGTATCCGTCTGGTGCCTGTGCAGAGTGACACCCAAAGCCCAAAGCCTCCAGACCCTCTGGGTAGGTTCAGCCCTAGCTCCTGATGTTTTTGTGTCCAGCCAGGACTCAGCATATTTCCTGCTCCTGCCATCTTCAGAGGTGCTGGCGTGACCAGTCTTAGTCTAAGCCTGTGTGACCTACACAATTGCTGCCTGGAAAGATCCATTTCTATTCCTCCTCCTCCTCCTCTTCCTCATCTTCCTCCTTCCCACTGGAGTCCTACTCTTTATCACTGCTCGGTGTATATAATTTTCCCTTGTCCTGCAACTGGGTCACGTCCCCCCTCCTGTCCCCTGCTCTATCTTTGGGGTTCAGATTAAATATTGCAGTTGGGGAACTGCCTTCCGTGATCATGTGAGCAGATCAGCACAGCGGGTCCTGGTCTGATGACCGACCCCCTTTGGCTCACCCCAGCCTTGCTGTCTTTTAGCTTATGTGCTTCTTTGGGAGACAGGCGCTCCTCTCCATAGACAGCGAGCCTCCTCAGATTCTCACCACAGCGCTGTATCTCCCCGAGTGCTGTCTGGAATAAATGGGTCATCAGAGAGACACCTCGGTAGCACAGGGGCGGCTACCACACTACCAACATCCTCCCTTGAGCTTCTGGTCTGAGCCTTTTCTGCTCATGTCTGCTCCCTGTCAAACACACACTCTGCCTTGTTCCCATGGCCAGGGCCATCTGGAAAGGCTCTCTCCACTCTTGAGAACAGCAGGGATTTCCGTGTCCATGTCTTCACACCCACTGTGCCCCGTCTGTAAACAAGAGTGCATCATGGGTCAACAGCTGAGTAGGCCAGGGAGCACCAAATAAGGAAGGACTGGACGTGGGCTGGACACCCTCTGGGTACTCTGTGTATCCACACTTCTATGTAACAATGGCACGCACATACACAGACTTAATTCACTTGATAAGCCAGGATGCTGGGGACTAAAGAAGGCTTAGCTGGACCTCTAAAAATAAAGCCAGGAAATCGGGGGGTCCGCGTTTGACACGAGTTTATGCCCCATGGCCCTGCCGTTTCTTGGAAGTGTTTGGAGGGATCATAAGATGAATCTGGACATCTGTTTCAGGAGTCAGCACTAACTGTCCACATTAAAATGTGTCACGAATTGTCTGAGGTGAATCCAAATGTTCCATTCTCCCCTTCCCAGCTTATTGTGTTTCTCCAATTTGGTCTGAAGGCAACCGTGTTCCTGGGACGGCAAGCCAAATGTCTCCAATCCAAGAGAATCTGGAGAGAGAAGTGTGTGTGTGTGGTGGGGTGGAGGGTTGATTTTATTCATCCAAGAAGGTGTGAGAGGCAAGAGTTCAGCCGTCCACAAGCTTTCATCTGCATTGGTTTGAGCGGGAAATGCCCACATGGATTTTAACACTTGGTCACCCTGTTTCAAGAGGTTGCCGAAACTTTGGGACTATGACCTAGTATCGGAAGTGGGTCCCTGTAGGTGGATTTTGAAACGGATCCAAACTCACAGCTTCCTGGTCAGTCATGGTGTGAACAGGCTGCACAGTAAGCTTCTACCCTCAGGGATAGAGTGACCCCAGCAGCCATGCCTTTCCAGTCATGGCTGACTGTATCCCCTGAAATATAAACCCTTATTTGGTCCAGTTGCTTCTGTTGGTTATTTTGTAGATAGTATAGCTCATCTATAGGTAAAGGGGAGAAACTTCTGCATAGTCCTTAGCTTTAGAGACACGATGATAAGGCACGTTGGCCCTGATGGCTCACTGCTCGCCCAGTCTTCGTGAGCTAGCTCCAGGTTCAGTGAGAGACTCTGTCTCAGAAGTCAAAGTGTAGAGTGATTGAGAAAGATACCCAGCATTGACCGTGGTCTCCATCTGTACACACACGGGCACACACAGGCACACACACACACCAAAAATGAAAAATAAAACAGGAATCCTTAAGCAAGTTCCAATAGCTTCTTTAGATAATAGCAGACAGTTGGTGGTTCCTAGGTCACCTTGGAGGGGCTGGAGATGGAGGACAGTCTTGGAGCACCAGGCACATAGATCTATGCCCAAAATTTCTTACAGATTGTAATGATGCCCACTGTTTTGGAAGTCATTGTTCTCCCCAGAATGCCTCTTCCAGATTCAGCCTTGTGTGAAGCCTTATGGACCTGTGCTCTCCAGGCTGTGAGTTGATATGGACCCGTGCTCTCTAGGCTGTGAGGAGTTGTTCTTCCCAGAACTGCAGTCTCAATCATCAGAACTGGTCTTGCAAAGGCTGCTGCTGCTCCGTGTGTCTTGTTGTGTGACACAACACAGCAAAACATCCTCACCCTCCTCTCCAACCTGGAGGATGGAAGGAACCCGCTTCCTTCCTCAGAGACATCTTCCCCGTCCACACAGACTCACACCCTCTCAATGCATCTCTCCGAGGTCCTTGGACTTCCCGCACAGCACAACCCGGGATTTGTTGCCCCTTATCCTTCTTTCTCCACTTGACTAGAGCTCTTCCTCTGGGTATGTGTCTTGCCCAAACCTTGTCCCTTGTCCTCAGAGAACCCATCAGTTCCTCCAGGATTACTAGCTTGTAAGAGAATTCCTGGTCCTTTCCCCGACACAGGCAGAACATTGATTTATGAGTATTCTCCCACAACTTTTGAGTCTTGTGGTGGTCAGGGGAGTGTCACGCAGATGTCCCCCAGTGTTCAGAAAGGACACCATACCCAGTAGACACTCAGCAGACACTGGCTTCTTCTTGAACAAGGACAACCTCATTTATGATATAAACCTGCTTATACAAACCCATTTCCACCCTTCTGGAGTATTGCATGGAATTTAAAAATTATACCATTGTCACAACCTTTTAGTGTGTGCATGTATATGTGCATGTATGTGTTTGTGTGTATGTGTGTGTGTGTACATGTGTGTATGTGTTCATGTACAACCACTAGTGGAGTCCAGAATGTAATGTCAGGTGTCTTTCTCAGCCACTCTCCCTGCTTTTTTTGAGACACAGAGACACAGTCTCTCGTTGAATCTGACATGCATATGCACCTGTTGCCATTACTGACTAGGCATCAAGCCCCAGGGATTGTCATGCCTCTGCTTCTCAGTGTTGGGATTATAGATACATGCAACTTCTGGCCTTTTACTTGGGTTCTGGGGACCGGAACTTGGGGTCCTCGTGCCTGTCCAGCGAGTGCTTTACTGACTGACCTGTTGCCCTAGCCCTTGGAGACACTTCTTTGAAATTTCTATTTTAGATTTGTTAATTTTTATTTTGTGCTCCTGAAGTTTTTTCGTGTGTGTGTGTGTGTGTGTGTGTGTGTGTGTGTGTGTGTGTGTGTGTGGCTGATGCCCATAAGGTTGAAAGGGAGTCTGAACCCCCTGTAACTGGAGTTACACACAGTTGTGAACGACTGTGTAGGAGCTGGGAATCAAGCCAGGGGTGTCCTGGAAAGTTCTGCAGAGGTCCCATGACATCACAAGACAGAAGCCCCCTTAAGAAGAGAAGGACAATCTGTCTCTGTTGTAATTGTAGTTTTCCTTTTCAACAAAACATCAATGTCAAACAACTCTAATGAGAAGCACTTGTACGACAGTCACCGTGTGCCGGGAGCTGCTCTCGGTGCAACCCCATGAGCTGATGTGACCGCTTTCTTCAGATCCGCTTGGGAAGGATGTGAGGCACAGGGAGGTTAGGTGCCATGTCTCAGGTCACACAGCCATCCCTCTTGTTAGCACTCTGCTTTATACTTCGGCATCTGCCTTCCAACCTCCCATGGCCAGCAGAGCAGAAACATCGGTCAGAGAGCAGAAGTGACCCGCTCCACAGCACAGCGGAGAGAAACAGTGGTCAGAGAGGTCCAGACCTTGGACGAGGTCACCCAGGTGGCTGCCAGACCTGGGGCTCACCACCAGTGCTGTGGCAGCCTCACCATCACTCTGAGCCTGGAAGCACCAGCGCTTCCTTCCCACCCTCTTCTCTGTTTTCTCTGCCGGTTCCTCAGCCTCCGTACACACGGTAACCCCAGGAACGCTTCCCATTTCTTTGACCTTATCCCCATGGTCACAGCCTCTTCCAGCTCCATGTCTAGTCCAACTAACTCTCATCACTCAGGTGCATGGCAGGGTTCAGGGTAGAGTGAGATTCCTCCCAGTCTTTCAAATGCCACACCATCACCATCACTATCACCAACACCATCACCAACACCATTACCATCACCATCACTATCACCAACACCATCACCACCATCACCATGACTGTCTGTCTGTCTGTCTGTCTGTCTGCCTGCCTGCCTATCTGGTGCTTTACCAATTTCACCTGTAAGACATTGTTGGCCTCAGCCATTTGAAAATATGTTAAAGATCTCCAGGGATAAGGGAAATGGTTTAGTTGGTGACATGCTTGTCTTGTGGGCATGAAGATTTGAGTTTGGGCCCCTAGCACCCACATAAAAAATTCCAGCGCTGGGGAGGCAGAGACAGAGGGGTTCCCTGGCCAGCTAACTTGGTAAACTGGGGGCTTCAGGGTCTAAAAGGTAAGGTAGAAAGTGATCAAGAAAACAACTAACATCAACCTTGGGCTTTTACAGACATCTATACCCACACCCACACTCACACCACACACACAGACACACATCACACACACTCACACATCACACCCACACTCACACCACACCCACACTCACACCACACACACTCACGCATCACACAATCACACATCACACCCACACTCACACCACACACACTCACGCATCACACACACAATCACACATCACACCCACACTCACACCACACACACACTCACACATCACACACACACTGACACCACACACACAGACACACTCACTCACACACCACACATACACACAGAAACACAGACACACACGCCACACAGACACACCCCAATCAGTCATTTAAAAGTATCTAGAATGTCATTCAGTCTACGTCAGCTGTCAGTCAGGAAAGTGCTGTTTCTCAGCTGGGTGGAAGGCATGGGGAGACAAAGGACAGCAGACTCCAAGTAGACACTGAAGAGTTAACAGGATTCTGGCTCCGGCGTTTGAGAATTGGATCAGTGCCCGCCCGTGCCCCCAAGGTTCTTCTCCCTCCCCCACCTTGAGGCCAGCTCCTAATTGGACTTTTAAGATGGATGCCGAGACACTGCTTGACTTCTGTTTATATCTCTGAAGATAGACTTTAATTGTGCCCATTACTTTTATTATAAGTATTACCGTATTCATTACTACACATTTTAAAAATAATAGGGCTGCTTTGTGCTCTGTGCATTGGAGGCAACTTCATTTCCGTTGGGGTCAGAGGTCAGGGTTCGGAGGACGGATGGGCTCCGTGGGAACACATTTGTATGGGGAGCAGGAAGAGGAATGGTGGCAGTTGGGGGGGGGCAGTTTGGACTTATCTAAATCCAAGGTGACAATCCGCCTCAAGTCTACGGAATATTCAATTAAAGGGCCCCAAGGAGAAGACGATGAAGACCAAACAGGGCCTCCTCCAACTCATTTTCTCTGTGAATGCGGACTTCAGCGGGCTTTCGAGCGGAAAGAAATCTGGAGATGGGGTGAGAGAGGGCAGGATTGCTGCCTCGGCCTTGGGAGACTTTGCTCTCGTATCCCAGACACGTGCGTGCCTTCGTTGGGCTGAGCTGTTCTGCAGATGAGTTCACAGCTGTTACTGCTTGCTGAGATAGCAGCAATGGGCCCAGGAGCCCCTCTCTCCGTAGTCTCTCATTTCCTAGCTCATCTTCCCCGGGACTTAAGGAAGGGTTTAGGGTGAAGCCCTCTGAAATGACAGTGATTCTGCCATCTTTGTTGACAGCCGGAAAATGCTATAGTTCTCAACATTTGGCGGAGACACAACAGGAAAATAAATCAATATTGCCAGGGAGACTATCATTTCTGAGGCGGACTTAATTATGAATTATTAAGAATGGTTCAGTTGAATTAAAAGAATTAGGAGGGTCCCTCTGTTTAATGTGGGTGTCAGCGATGCGTGCTAAGTAGCAACTAGGTTCATTACCAAAAGTTAGATTCATTAGGTTATATAATTTGCAAGTTTCTATTCTTAATTTCTCCTAGCCAAATCCAATTATTTTCTTGAAATAGCATAATTAGTGGCGGGGGGAGGTAGGGAGGTAGGGCACATTAACATGACATGAAAATAACACATTTTTTCTTTCTATTTTGGTTACAGAAATCTTCTGAACACATTTATGAGCATGCAGAATAGCACTTGGGTGTACACAGACCCCAGGCCCTCTCATCCACCTGCGTGAATGCTCACCTGTGTGAATGCTCACCTGTGTGAATGCTCACCTGCGTGAATGCTCACCTGCGTGAATGCTCACCTGTGTACCTGAGATCTATTAGCAACAGGTAGTATGACGTGGTCATTTCACCTGACCTTTTGGGAAAACCTGAGATTCTTGCACTGACTTCTTTGTACCTAATTAAAAGTTCCCTAAAGCAGGTTGACGTACGACCCCCCCTTTCCTTTCAGGAGGAAGTAACTGAGACACCCAGGAAGCCTCCTAGCCCTCATCTTTTGAAACATCACCACTGCTAGGAGCAGAGAAGTTTGTTTGGTGGCGGACAGTTGAGTGCGAAGAGAAAAAGTGCAGAACCTTCCGAAATGATTTCCAGTGTCTGTAACAGGCAATTATATAAGCTGTTTGTCTTCTAGATGCTTCTGTGGCTCTTCTATTTCTTATTATTGTGCATGAAGGATCATCTATCGCAGGTAAGACGCCACTTATTACTACAAAGCAAGAGAGGAGCTGACAATTACCCGGTTGATTTCAGCTACATAGGCAGCACAACTAGGATGCTCCAGCCAGAGAAAGAATGGAGACGCCAGGCAGGAGCAAGAGCTAGAGACGGCGTGGCCGGGGAGGGAGAAAATAACGACTGTGTGGACTCGACTATCCATCTGTTCCATCAACCTGTGACACACACTCACCAATGTTTGGATCAATTGCATTCAGATTGGTGACATTGCCATTGCATATCAAGGGTTCTGGGTGGTTGTCAAGGGCATGCTGGATTCAGGGAATGCGTTTGTTCATCTAGAGATGTCCTCATGCCTTACACACCTCAAGAGTCTGGGTTTAGTTTCTTATTACTGGCTTCCTTGGGAGCGGCTTCCCCAGGATGAAGGGTCCACCAGGCACCCCCAGCATCACCCAGATCTGCAGACTCATTTTCCACAAAGCAGGGGGATGGAAGCTTTGCCAAACCAACCTCATCGAGCCGGAAACAAATAGCAAGAAGATCAAGCAGGAAATCCCTCCTCCCTGACAGGAAGCGTGAGCAGATGCTTCCTGTGAAGGAGATCATTCCAGGGTCGTGTGTCTATTGGTTTCAGTGTCCTTTAAGGACTTGATGCCCTCCAGGGGAGGGGAAGCATTTCGCTGGGAAAATAAAATGGAGACTCAAAAGGGACACGAGGCCAGAAGGATTACCCACCATTAGGATGCTCCTCTGACCCAACTTCTCACTTGAACACAGGCTGAGCCAGCCCTCCAGGACCCTAGGATCTGTGTTGGGGACTGTGATTGCCACCTCTGCCAGCCTACTTGAGCTCAGGCTCTTCTACCCTATCCCTCAAAGTAGAACAGACTTGAAAACAATTCACATACAGGAAGAGATGAGATTTCCACAAAATTATCTGAGCAAGAGAGACTAGGAGATGGGCTTAATTGCTTGATCCACTTAAGACAGATGCCTGGAAGTGACTTAATAGCTTTTCCTTCTTGCCAGATGGCATTGTGGTCAGTAGGACAGCACGGGGTGCAGAGTGAGGCCTACGGCTCCCCCAGGGCCCTCTCCCGGGGCCCAACTCCACACACCATCTCCTCCACTCTTCACAGTTGTGTCCCCCAGGAACCCAGGGAGCAGATTGGCAGTGAGCGGATGATAGGGGGTGCAGCAAGCGAGACCTCCCGCCTTCCCGCGATTTCTGTGCTCACTTTTCTGCCTCTGCCGAAGAGTGTGGCGAATCGCGGGGGCTCTGTCCTCATTAAACGCAGACATGACACATGCGAGCAGGGAAAAAGGGTGGAGACCGGCCCAAGGACGGAAGAAACGTAACCTTAGGAGAAGAAAGGGAAGGGTTATTTATCGTCCAAATCCCATAATGGACTCTTCTAGATCCTTCCTTCTCTCCTAGCATTGGGGAAAAATGCGCATCCGGCAGGGGAATCTTCTTTAACCCCTATCTAGAGGGACGTCTGCTCTGTCCATCCTGTCTTATCGGCAAGCCCATTGGCCTGGACTGCAATTCTGAACTCTGGTGTCACTGGCTGACCCACACGCTTGCATTCTTAGCCTTGCAGCCTTCCAGAAAAAGACACAAGGGTCCTCTTGTGGCTAAGAGCCGCTCAGTCAGCCGGGCTGTCCTCCCTGCAGTAGCACAACCTTTCTGAGCCCCGCTCTAGATGAGGCTGAGTCCCAGGGGGTTCTCAACCACAGGCAGATCTACTCCAGGATCAATACCAGCAGCTGGAAGCCAATGCCCTCTGATCAGAAAGTTCCAGAAAGCCTAAGTGAAATACCCCCCCCCTTGCCTTTGCCCCTCTCCCCTGACTTGAACCACCAGGAAACAATGTTTCCCCTGGGGATAATAATGACAAACTTCTAGACTCCACTCCATTCGCAGAGTGGTGCTGGGAAGGCGGAGGTGTTATTTCCGCTTTATAGGTGACGAGAGTGGGGCTCAGGAGTTCAATGAAATCACCCTAAGTTCATAACCAATGGTAGGCACAGCTGATGTGTTGAACCACAGTCCACAAGTTCCCAGGATCTCACCTACCACAGTATCCAACACCAACCTCAACTTGGCCATGCTTCCAACCTGGGTCAGTGGAGGGGCAACCCAGACCCTATGTCCAGCCCACTATAAAGGTCCCTGAAGATGGACAGGCCAAAGCTCAGGCTCCTTTTAGGCGTTCAGGCACAGAAGCCAGAATTTCTAGACCCCAAGAACCTAGGGACCCTTTCTTTCTGGTCCAGCGAGAGACTAATTCTTCCCAGCCTCTCGGGCGGCCTTTGCTGTGTTGAAGGGGACATTTCACCTCATTAGGGAAGTGTTGCATGTGTAGGGCAAACTGCTTAAATGGGATCTTTGGTGGAAAACTTTGCGGGAGGCAAAGGGCATGGGTTGTGGGACTCTATCTGTCAGGGCTGCTTCATTATGAAGACTTAGCAAAGCACGTCGAAGAATCAGGCAACTGAGTGACTCTTTCCGGTGTCGAGGCAGCCAAAATGTTCCCGGGCAGCCTTGTGCTGCACGGGAATATTTCTAATTAACACAGCCCCCTTTGAGATGGACTGCTTCAGAGCGCTTTGTTAATGAGGTGGCTTTGCACTGTGTTCCGTGCTGGCTGGAACCTTTGAGCTCTCATTTATCAAGGCTAACTGGAGGCAAAACCAGATGGCTCCATTTCTTCCTGGGGAGGGGACATCCGTGGTTAGTTGAGGGACCTTGATCAATCCTGGAAGGGATCAGACTTTACCTTTACTTGAAGAGAGAGAGAGAGAGAGAGAGAGAGAGAGAGAGAGAGAGAGAGAGAGAGAGAGAGAGAGAGAGAGAGAGAATGAGACCAAAGAGCTGAGATGGGACAAACTCATAGGTAAACTGAATGCCCCCTTGTCTGCCAGTGATCAGGCAACCGTGGGGACAAAGCTGGGAGGGCTCCGGTTGGAAGCACACGGTCTGGTGGCTGTGGCTCTCTCGTGCACACTGGCGGGATCATTGCTGTTGACTGATGGGAGCCATCTGGCCTGGGACACCTGTGAGGCTGTATCTTCTCCTCCCAGGCGTGAAGAACGCTGAGATACTGCTAATGGTTGGCATAATGAGTCTGGCGGGGAGTCGCTGGTCCCCAGGGCCCGGGGCAGAGAAGAAGTTTGGTGGAGGTTTAGTCTTGGGCTCTCTCTGGGATGGATGGAGAGTTTCCTCACCGGACGTCACCCGCAGCTCCTTATCCAGCTCTCCTAGCCATGCTGCCGTCCCCTAAGAGCACGTGGACATGAAGCCACTCCATCATGAAGGTCCCAACTCCAGCTCTCCTTGCAGCTCTCCTAAGATACCTTGGGAACGTGCCAGACCTCCCCCCCCATTCAGTTGAGTTCCCAACACGTGCTTGACTCCAGCAACACTGACCACAGTGGGTGCTTCAAGGAACTGTAGTACCTTGGTGCTGGCAACCCTGCCCTCGCCGCACGTGGGCAAATACGACTGGCAGAGCCACGGCCGGATGCTGGACACACAGGTGTTGTGGGGGGGGGGCTGTGCAAGCTGAGAGAGCAGAGACGCAGAGGTCAGATGCTGTGTGGCTCTAGGGTCACACAGCAGGTTGGTCACTCAGCCAGGGCAGGAAGTGAGGTAGGGAGAGGGCTACTCTCTGAACTGTGTTACACCAGGCCTTTCAAGATCTAGCCGCTGAAATCCAACCTGAGGGAGACATGGGACAGGAAGCCTGGGGCCTACAACTTGGTGTACCTCTTCAGTTTAGCGCTCTGCCCGACTTTATCCCTGTGCTCCTCCTTGGTAGAAGCATCCGTCTCTCAGTCTTGGAGAAGGCTCTCTTACTTCGAGTCTCCAAGCCCTTCTGTCTCCCCATTGACTGAGCAGTTAGTGACAGAGAGACGTTTCAAGAGAATCACTGGGGTGGCTTCTCTGGAGATTCTAGAATTCTCTCTCTCTCTCTCTCTCTCTCTCTCTCTCTCTCTCTCTCTCTCTCTCTCTCTCTCTCTGTGTGTGTGTGTGTGTGTGTGTGTGTATAAGCCAGAGACCAACTATGGGTGTTGTTCCACAGGACAGCTCTCCGTCTTGTGTTTTGAAGCGAAGTGTCTCGCTAGGTCTGAGGCTCGCGGAGTAGACTAGTGTCTCGCTAGGTCTGAGGCTCGCGGAGTAGACTAGTGTCTCGCTAGGTCTGAGGCTCGCGGAGTAGACTAGTGTCTCGCTAGGTCTGAGGCTCGAGGAGTAGACTATTCCCTGACTGGCTCCAGAGACTCTGCTTGCTTCCACCTCCCCAGTGTGGGTTTGCATGGGAGTGACATCACTTCCGGCTTTTTAGCTCCTGGGCTTTGGAGATCTCTTGGGTCTCCACGCTTGACTTCTACGGCAGACACATTATGGACAGAGACATCTCCCTAGCCCTTTCCATTGCTTTTGAAGGCAGAGGTTCAAAGCAGTCGAGGTTGGCTTTGAACTCCTGATCCTCCTGCCTTCAACTCCAGGCGCTGGGATTGCAGGCCAGTCCCAACCACATCTGGCTCTACGGTTCCTTTTCAAATGGGATCGGTCACTACCAGATTTACCTGGTTTCGGGAGCTGTCAGTCCCCAGGGTGGATCATGAGATGGAAGGGAGAGCTTTCTGGTGACAGTGGTGCCTCGCCTTGGTCATCTGCTGCGACATTCAGTCACCACCGGTGGCTACTGAGCGCTTAGTGTGAGGCAAATGTGGCAAAGAAAGGAGTTTACACTTAACCTTGTTCATTTGGATGTGGAGTAGCCCTTTGGGCTGGTGGCTACTGTTAGGTGACCCAGTTTAGAGGTTAGGACACGTGACCATCTGTCACATCGGCTTGAATACCTTTCTCTGTTGCTGACCAGCTTTGCTTCCTCACGTAGCACCTGAAGATGATCCAGACACTGTGTGTGTATGGAGTGTATATG